ATTTTATGCGCACCGAGTCATGCCAGTAAAATTCATAAAGGCGTTTTACGCTAGTGGCTTCCTCAACAGCTATGTTTTTGAAGTATATTCGACTCTCGTTTCTTCTGTTTGAACCCCCTAGAGGACTCGGGCGTGGGCAGATGTCGGGAGACATCTGGGAAGCTGAAAACAAGGAAAGCTGGGATCGACCCTACCCCGATAAAAATCTTCAGCGTACAAGCAAAAGGCTTGTGATAATCCATACTCTTCCCAAAGGGTTTCACGCGGCATCTGTCCAAAATTTCCCTGAGTGCAAGACGGCTGTCTCGAGCATTTTTGTCTTACAATTCCCACTTCTTTCAGCATTCTCCCTGTTGGTCACCTTCTGAAGCCTTACCGGGCTACAGCTGCCGATCTCCACTGCAACCTGTACGGAACGGGAAGAGTGTCTCTCCTTGAGAGCCGGAATAAGCCCATCCATTCGTCATTCTCTTGAGGACTCCAGGTTTGGAATGACGGCTAAGCGGACCACTTAGGTCCGTCTTTCTCTCTCCGGGTTGAATCCCGGCCCGTAAATTCCTACTCGTCTAAATGTCCCCAGATGACGCTTATCCAGTTTGCTGGGCTTTCTGCGCTTGGAGTTTAGCCAGAGGTGCTTGAGAAGAGAGCACTGCAAAAAGCCCTTTTAGTAGAGAGGCCCCAGCTCGTAAGCAAAGCCGCTTCTTCCCCGGAGCCTCAGAGCCAGACGTTCATCCCATTTCCCGCGAGGAGGTCACCTGGGCCTCGCTTGTCTGGGATCTTGAAATGTCCCACTGTACGAGAAAGGAAATGGGAAGGAGCGCAGGAGCTCGGTAGAGGCTGATCGTCCCTGTCTCCCTAACGGCCAAGGGAAGGCAAAAGCAGGGTAGGACTCGGCTTCCTTTGGAAGGGGCCGTGGCTTCAGTGGCAGAGCCCCTGCTTGGCGTACAAAGGTCCCGGGTTCAATCCCCGGCATCTCCAGCGAAAAGGACCAACCAAGACCCTGAGACAATGGAAGGCTGCTGCCAGTCCGAGCAGACAATACTGATCTTGATGGGCCAAGAGCAGGGCTGCCAGACCCCCCCCCAGTTTGGCGGGGGTCATACGCCTGACTGGCTGGCGGGAGAAGCCCCGCCCCCAAGCCCCAACACCCGCAGCCACTTGAGAGAGAGGAGGGAGAGGGGCGGCTGCGGGCCGTGCACCCGATCTCCGAGCGGCATTTCCGTTCGGAGATCGAGTGGGCAGGGCCCTCTGGCTGTGGGCACTGAAAGGGACCCCTTTCAGTGCTCGCGGCCGGTGGGGCCGTCCCTGCGGGGGCGGGGCTTGGAGCCGGGACGTCCCCAATGTGACGTCATCATGTTGGGGACGCCCGCCCCTTCCGAGAACGCCCCCCAAAGTCCCCCGCTGGGGATGAAGATGGACCTGTCGACCTTAGCCGAGTGTCTGATTCAGTATAAGGCAGCTTCATGTATTTGTCTTTCTAGGGAGCTCGGGGTGAGGAAGCCCCGCCAGGTTTCTCTGCCTGTGGAAAGGAGACTCTCAACCGGAAGAGTGAGGCTTCTTTCCATAGGGCAAGTGTAATGTAATACCGGTTTCTCTTTCTAACAGCCAAATGGCATGGGGTGCTGGGAATCCGTAACTGACACCCACCACCACCACCACACACATACATGATGGAGCTGCAGAGAGCAACGGGGGTTTAACTCTGCTGCCTGTACCATCTTCCTGATTGCAAATTGGTCCGTCTGACCTCCTTTAAGTCCAGTTAGAGAGAGAAAAATAACCTGTGCCTGTCTTTTTGTCCTATTAGGATGGACAGCAGACTCTTCGGATTCAATTTCAACCCATCGGTTCTGGTCCGACCTTCTGGGGCAACAGAAAAGAACTCCGCCCCATCCTCTATATGACAGCCCTTCAAGTACATCAATACATGCTCCTGTACACATTGTTTGTGTATGTTATGTGGAAAATGTAATAAAACCTTGCCCCTTTGTGGGCAGTTTTTTTTAAAAAACATGCTCCTGCCCCGTCACTGTGGCCCCGATCTCCATCCCCCGCCCGGTGGCTGCTTTATGCGCTAACTTACATGTCTGGAGATCAAATTTCCGATCCCCCAGCAATCACATGTGGTTTGCCTCTTAAACCTGGGGGATATTTACCTAATTTCGATCCGAGGATGAGCTTGGAAATAGAACCAGTGACATTCTTGGCTCCCAGAGCTATTAATAAAAGGGCCGGTCTTTTGAGCATCACTGGTAATAGAAGCAGAGGAAAACGGTCACCCCGGAAGCCGCTGACCCCGTGTTGTATTTGGGTCAGTCCTGGAATGTGAATTTAGACTTTCAAATTAAACCTCTAAGCAGAGGAGGGGTCGGCGGGAGCTGGAGATGTCCCCTGACAGGTCACCGGTTTCTCTTTAAGAGTTGCGGTGCGCGGAATGAGAGTTTTTCCTCATCAAGACGTCTCTGACATTCACTTTGATGGATTGTATTTGCCCCGTCTCACCGGTGGCCTGATATTTCAGATCCGGGCGATAAACAGCATGCATTGTTTGCCGAGGGGAGGGGTCGTGCGACTTGACAACTGGAGGCTTCGAGATAATATTGTGTTACACAGGGGGCAGAAGAAGAAAAAGAAAGAAGGATTGATGTCGGAGATGGAAGGAGAATGCCGTTGAGGGTTGGAGCGTGGAGATTAAAATATTTGAAGGCGCCAAGTGGGACCACCATTCCGTCTAGCTGGAAATGGCTCTCTAGGTCTCATGGTGCAGGGAAAGATCACTTCTAATATCTGAGGTCTCAGGCTTTCCGCATGCCGAGTCAAATCTCTGCCGTGCCGCTAAATAGCCTCTCTCCGATACAGAGCTTGCGTTACCCTGAGGTCAGGCCAACGATCCATCTAGCTCAGTGTTGTCTACTCTGACGGTTCATGGCTCCTTGAGGCACGGAAAGGTCTGAGATCTTAAACCGGAGGTGCCAGGGACTGAGCCTGTGACCCTCTGCGCGCATGACCCTATCCCTGAGCCACGGCCCGCCTGCACCTTCCGGCTTGCTGTAGTTGGAAAAATGGAAATGCGTGACTGCCAGGAGAGTCCAGAAATCACCACTACTCTGTCTTATTCAAATGCACTCAGGATGACCTGAGTCATGCCCTGACCTGGATAGCCCAGGGAAGCCCGATCTCATCAGATCTCGGAAGTTAAGCAGGGTCGCCTCTGGCAAGTACTTGGATGGGAGACCTCCTTGGAATACCAGAGGTGGGAGGTGGGGGCAGGCTTTATTCAGCCGCCTCTCTGAATATCCTCCAGGCCCCCAGTAGGGGCCAGTCACCAGAGGTCTCTTGCTAATCTCCAGGACATCGGGTCTCCTACCATGTTTAAAAATCATCCAAGAAGCCACACCCTCCACCAAGGGCTCACCACCAATGCTCCCTCTAAGCTGTGGAGTCTTATGAGCAAAAAAATCTACTTTGTGAGCTACTGGCATTCAAGTTGTGAGTGAGCGATTCGGCTCCTGCATATTACAAATTCATTCACCGCAAAAAGCCGGCACTCTAATACAACAGTCAAACTAACTCAGACTAAATCCATACAACCACACGCATAAATGAACTACATAAAATGAATATCAAATAGAGCGCGCATGTTAAACATGTTAAGTCCTATAACAAATTACATCCAGTCGTCCTTCACTAGCAGCTTTCTAGTCCTTACAGCTAACCAGCCAAATTTGGCAGTTTAGCCGTAACCTCGGGGCATTGGCTACCGCAAAAATGTGCTCTGGAGCCCTCCTCCCTGAGCGAAGACAAAAACGTGTGAGCCGGAGGCTTAAAAAACTGTGAGCTAGCTCACACTAACTCAGCTTAGAGGGAACTCTGCTCACCACCACGGTGGGAATTCTTTTGTGTTTATTTGAAAGGGCTTTTCGTTCCAGGATTACTGTATTTGTGAACTGTGTGAGGAGACAGAAGGACAGGGGACGTTTTCACCCCTTCCCTCCCATGCCCTTCTCTCATTGGAAGAGCCACCTTCGAGGGTTATCACGTTTTCCAGCAAGAAAATAGCAGGGGAGGGGGAGGGGGGAATTTCCCCCCATGCCATTATGTTCTGTGGTAAAGCAATCCTGGCGCTACATTTGCAAGGGGAAAGCAAGATGGAATTCAAAATAAACATGGAAGGAACTCTGATGTGCCCTCGATGGCAGTCATTTGCTTCCAGCCTCGGCGAAACATCTGCCATTCCCTCCCAATATAGCTTCCTCCGATTTCGGGGATCCATTCAGGGCTCTTTTTGTAGAAAAAGCCCAGCAGGAACTCATTAGCATAATAGGCCACACCCAACAGCAGAAACTCATTAGCCTATTAGGCCACACCCCTGACAGCACAGCTCATTAGCACATTAGGCCACACCCCCATGTTACCAGAAGTGGGGTCATCCAGCCACACCCACCTTTCCCTTCTTATTCTGTTTACCTTGTTTGTGGTCAAAACCCAGGGCCTTTTTTTGTAGCAGGAACTCCTTTGCATGTGAGGCCACACACCCCTAATGTAGCCATTCATAATGAGTTTCTGCTGTTTTCTGCTGTTGGGTGTGGCCTATTATGCTAATGAGTTCCTGCTGGGCGTGGCCAACTTGGGAGCCAGCCGGAACTCCATTCCTGTGCGTTCCTGCCCCAAAATAGCCCTGCATTTAATCATCCTTTCTGAGCCTGTGGGCACCTCTGGAATTCTGACACAGCACGGTGGGGGCAGCCATAAAAATGGCAGCCACAAAATGGCTGCAGCGGGAGGCGGAGCCAGTCACAAAATGGCTGCCGCGGCTTACCTTCAGCCACACGGTGAAGTTCCTTGTGCTGGGGTGGTGGCTGCTGCCAGAGCAACGTTTTCAAAAAAAATCTGCACAGACAATCCGTCGCCTTGCCGGGAAAAAGCCCCACCTTCCTTTACTCACTTTCTAAAGACACTGGATGGGCACCACGTTGGGGACCCCCGCATTAGAGACTCACCTCTGATTCTGAAGCGTCCAAGGGTTTCTCACTGAGGGCCACACTCTCCGTCAGCACCACTCCATTATACTTGTTACAGATGTCCTCGTCGGAATAGTGCAGCCCCCCGGGGCTGGGTCGGGGCGGGGACCTGGAGGACAAAGAGAAATAAAATGAGGAACGTTCCCGCCTCTTCGCTCTATCGGACGGAAGACTTGTCCTGTGAATGATCTTTTCTTAAGATACGGGGAGGAAGAAAACCCTAAGCCCTCCAAGGTATTTGCGGTGCGGCTATTCTTTTTTAGAGGTAAAGTAAAGGTAAAGGTTCCCTTGCTCGAAAGCCAGCCGAATCCGACTCTAGCGTTGCGGTGCTCATCTCCATTTCAAAGCCGAAGAGCCAGCGCTGTCCGAAGACGTTTCCGTGGTCATGTGGCCGGCATGACTAAACACCAAGGCGCACGGAACGCTGTTACCTTCCCACCGAAGTGGTACCTATTTATCTACTTGCGATTTCTTGCTTTCGAACTGCTAGGTTGGCAGGAGCTGGAACCAGAGACGGGAGCTCAC